AATTAGGAGATCCTACCATGTGAGATTGTTTAGGACTGGTAACAAAAATAACAAAATAAGCATGTGTTTATTATCTAAAATGTGGCAGTTATAATTGAATACCTACTTTTCTGTAAACATAACATCAAAATGTCACTTAACACTTTTTTCAAAATACATTTGTACAATATTTACAATTTTGTAGGAAAGAATACACACTATTTTCCTTATTTAATTATTGTTGTCTCGTACACTATAAAAATGATGAAAAATAGTAATGTCCTCACTTTGTTTTGATGAAGTATATGGGTGCTCGGGATTGTTATTATTATAGGTATGTGGTAGTATTTTTCTTCTCCTTGTTTTCACTTTTCATTTCGTTTGTATGATTAGTAGACATTAATAATTTACCATTTAAAAAAAGATATAGACGTATTTTTTACTTGATAAAGATAAAATTAACTGAATTTTTCTGACAGTTCGCAGTCATTATTTGTTTGGTGCACTTTTTAGTACTATGCACTTTGGTGCCATATTTTAAAAAGATTTGAGACACCTCTAAAATATAATTCATCGTGCATTTTGGCCTAATCGAACACTTGAGATCTTTACAAGGTAGTATAATACTCAAATCAGTGTAGTACATTCTCAAAGAATCTGGTAATCTAGTACACTAGAACTAAAATCTAGTACTTTTTGTTCCTTTACGTGCAGCAGCGTATGTTTCAATTTAACGTGTAAAATATATTGTTTTGTCTTTCTTGTTTTTTTACTTGTTTTTTTATTTGCTCTTCTTCAATGAACCAAACCGTCACTGCAAATAGAATTCGAAAAATATGAAAAAAAATTATGGACTCTTAATACATTTTTATGGAATCTTGCAAATTTTTTTGACAAATCTGGTACATAACAAAAAACATATTTTGGCAACACTGCCTCAAACTGAACATGAAATCTAGTGAAAAGGACACTTCATTTAACGCCTTCGTTCGCGAGATAACTTATAACTATTATACCTTTCGTAATGGCTATTTATGAAAATTCTGTATACAGGTGCTTAATTATTTAATATTTCAATTTGTGTTATAGACAAGTTTCAAATACAAGTTATATGGATTTGAATAATATTTTTGGGTATAAAGGGTGTTGCTTTTTGGCCTGGCAAATAAAAATTTATATTTTTCAAATAGAACACCCTATATTTTATTTTTAGAATGGTTTAATAATACTGTATTTAACCTTAGAATGTTTTTAAAAAAACATACAGGGATGCCAAGCAATTAGTTTTTTATGAAATTAGAAAATGATGCAGACCCCAAATGAAATTATCATAATTTAAATAAGTTTATATTTATTTCATAATTGTTTAATATACAGATTAATAAGCTATAGGCTAACGAATAGTGGCTATAGAACTGGTTTATTTTATACAGAGTGTTTGGAAACATGTCTTAAATATAGATAAAGTTCAATGAACTCATTTTTTTTCAATGCCACACTCTGTATATTATCTTAGAATTAAATTCCTTATAAATTTGCCTATCCAGCGATAGCAACATGTTAGCTCATAACACATCAGAAATACGAAGAAATTTGTAATAAAAAAGTTATATGACCATATTTAATTATTCTTAAATATACAGGTCCATAAACGAGGTGCTGTACTTTTTTAAAGCAAAACGCCCTGCAGGTAGTTTAACATATTTGATTGTTTTTACATCATTTATTATTTTTTAGGGTATTCCATTTCTAAAATTGAGAAAATCGTTATCTCGCATTTTGACACACCCTATATACAAAATAGCAAATAAATTAAGTCTATTAAAATTGTTTGACGACGTGAGAACAATGAAATATGCAGGGTGTTTCGCTTTAAAAATGTATAGGTTTGATCAGTCCCCTGTTTATGGACCATCCTGCATGTTTAAAAATATTTGTTAAATATGGTCATACAATTTTTGTATTATTTTTTTTTTGTTATTCCAATAATAAAGCAGCTATCAATCAATTACGCATTTATGTGTTATTGGCTAACATGTTGGTATAGTTGGATAAGTAAATTAATAAGGAATTTTATAGTAAAATAATATACAGGGTGTTGCATTGGAAAAATTGAGTAAATTGAACTAAACATAGCAATATTTAAGACATGTTTCTAAACACTCTGTATAAAATAATCCAGTTCTGTTACCACTATTCATTAGCTTAGCATCTTATAAGTCTGTATTTTAAACAGTTTTGAAATCGTTGTAAACCTACCTGGATTATAATTTAATTTGGGGTTTGCATCAATCTCTAATTTCATAAAAAACTTAATTGCTTGGCAAACCTGTATTATTAAAAAAAAAATCTAGGGTTGAATGCCGTATTACCAGACCATTCTAAAACTGATATAAAATTCAGAATGTTCTATTTAAAAAAATTAACATTTTTATTTGCCCGACAAAAATGCAACAGTAGATCCAAAAATATTTTTTAAGAAATCCATATTTTTTTTTAAGCTTATTTGCGTGTCTATAACACAAATTGAAATATTGAACAATTACGCACTAATAGGACACCCTGTATATTTGTTACTCCTTTCAGTTTTAATGCAAATTTATACAATAATGTAGAATTGTTAAGCCTCCATTTCTTTGTCTGCTTATAACAAATAAATATTTATTTCGAATAAAAAATACATCATCTCATTTTTGTTTAGGTTTTTGAATTTTGTGTATTCATTACAATCTGAAATGGAGGCCCTACACGCTCTGATATAGCCTGCATGCCAAAACGCACAGTTCTCATCTAAAGGCAAGATTTAATCAGCTTATTTCACTCTTCAGGTTCACATTAGACAAAAGAGGAGAGGAGAGATGTGAGTCAGATCGAGCCTTTCACGTTGAGTTATGGACTGAATCTATGGACTGTACAGTTCAAATCTCACAAAGATCGTAGCGTGTAGGGCCTCCTTAAGTGTTCTGTATAAAGGTAACATTTGGGAACGCGAGACAGGAGACCGAGGCAAGCGACCGCGTAAGGCGACCGAAATACGTATTTTTACGTCTGAAGCATATGTAATTATATGAAGCAAGAGACCGCAACAGCACTTTCAACACAGTTTTTTTTTTTGTTGCCTTGAAGCGTAAAGTAAATGCATACCCTTATGGTTTTGATTTGGGACTTATAATCCCAAAACTATACAAATTATATGAGTACCTTATAAATAAATAAATACCTGAATATTAGCAATACCTGGTGCATTTAAAATATAAGAAAAACGATTTGACAATGGGACTTCGTATTGTGCTGTTACCAAATTAAAAAAAATGTACACTTATACGAGTACCATTGAATTTTACAATAAATATAGTAAACTATATAACTTGATTCCTTCTTTTTCTTCCTACTATTGTCAAGTGTTTTATATGTATATTGTTAAAAATGTTTTTTATTTAATAAGTTGCTCTTAAATATTTAATGATCGATAAATAATATCCTTTTACCAGTTGAAAAATATAAAAATAACGTTTAATAATTAAGAACTTGCTAATAATAATAATTAACTTGCTTTGGCTTTGTTTTCTTCATTTTCTTCTCATAAAAATAGTGGCAGATTAATCACAATCAAGAAATGTAAGTTCATGACACCTTATCACAAATTAATGCCAGGAACTACCACATAATTATTTCTTGGTAGACTGATAACACAAAATTTCAGATACAAGATAGGTAAAAATGATTTTGTAACTAAAGTATTAAATAAAAAACGACTGCCATGATAATATCTTTTTCCTACGACCACTTAGGAAAGTGACACATATCATACTATATAGTCATATGGAAAGTGCCCTATATCACTCGCGTATAAATAAGAATTTACTTTCCACCCGTGTACGAATATGTTACTTTCCGCCGTAGCTGTCACAAAATGTCAAACACGTAATTTCTATGTTGATCTATGTAATGTTCATATTAATACTAAAATCAATATGATTGTTAAATTATTGAAATTGTTGTAAATTAGATCCTAGATATTTATCTTTAACAATTATTATTATTAAAATAATTTTAAAATAATGTTTGCTCTTTATTCTGGTTAAATACATAACCGATTAGATCATTCAATTGACACAAGGGCTATTAGCTCAGGTGGTTAGAACATCGAACTTATCAACTTTGCAATTTGAGACCGCGTTCAAATCCTGGCGGGGCGGAATTTTTTTTTTTTAGTTTTTTTTTGTTTAGAAAATATAAAAATTAAATAAATACGATTATTGTCGATTATTTTTTTAAATACATTTTAATTATTATAGTAATAATAACCTTGGTTTTACATTTTTTGATGACATTATTTTGTGGTCGTAGGAAAAATATTGTACATCACTTGTGTGAAAAGTGATTTTCCTCACTCGTAATGTAATATACTATATCTATATGGATTATAATCCAACAAAATAAAATATATATGCATATTATGCATTGACTACGACTTTAGTAAAATGTGGTAAATCTTTCCTGTTCGTGTTCCACGTGATGAAGAAAAATTGAGTTATTCTGACAAGACACCGAAAAAAAGTTTAGAAGAGCATCTATATAAGAAACATAAATCACATGGTTTTGTGTTTTCAAACATATGAAGCCGGTTGCAACAACGTTCGTTAAAATGTATGGATCCTATAAACTTTGACAGCGATTAAGAATTTGGTCTGTTACAGACGCACAGTCTAAAAAAGTGATGGAATAATTAGCTGTTGAGAGATTTAACAATCGAGTGATGGTTTTTCAATGTTGGCCCACTCCATACATGCATTTTAACAAGCTGGTATCATCCGTGTTAAATAATCGTCCTTTCAGTTAATCCTTGTTTTTCGGAAATAAATCAAAATGGCAGAAAGCAAGATCGGACGATATTTTATAAAAGTCACATGCAGATTTTTTTAAATACTAAATATATAGCTACTTATTCTTGCATGTACATAAATGTTTCGTTTCACCAATAATAATTAACCGATCATTTTTTTCATTATAACACCCACATTCTTTTATCTGCAGGTCTCTAGCTTAACATTAAAATCACTTGAAGGTGCTACGTCTGCGGATTTGGCCGAAATTGAACAGATAGTAAAGGAGAGAATGGTGCGACAATTTTTTCTACTTTTTTTATATGTAAATTGTTGAAACCATACTGATTATTTTGCATGTAGTGGTTGATACGTTTTTAGTTAAAAGTCGAATGGTTTTAGTTTTTTGTATTTTCAGTGATTTTTTTTAAATGTTGATGCATCTCAGTATACTCCACCAATAATTAATCAAATTTAATTTTAAAAATAAGACACTTTTTTCCTTTTAGTGAATTTATTGCAAGCAAAACATTTTTCGTGTGATATTTTACTTTGTTTTTTTTTATTTTGTAGGTAATAATGCAAGAAAGTATTTCTCGTGTGTTCTTTAATTATTTATATTATTATTTTACCTTCTTCTTTTTAGACGAAATTATTTTATGGTCTAGTTCCTTTAGATCCTAAATTTAGGTATATGTTTAGTTTAGAGGACTCTCCAACTTTTTTATTTTTCGAAATTTAATAAGAATTTGTTTTTAGACATACTGAACTAATGAAAATGCTTTATGTAACCTATACAGGGTGGCCACTTTTTTTTTCAAACCATACTAGTTAGAAAGTCGGTCAAATGGAGAAAAAGTTGCGTATCTCGAAGCATAATCTAGCGGTGGAAATTAATCGAAAATAACAGACCCGGTTCTTGAGATATTTCGATAAAAAGAAATTCGATCTTTTCGGGTTTTTGGTTATTTTTCATTTATTTTCAGAACTACTAAAAAATATTTTAAAGGTTTTTTTATTTGATAGTAAATTTTCTTTGATTTGACGTTTTCATATTTTGCATCCAACGTTTCGTATTCTCCGGACCACCCTCAACTTATTTTTTTTTTTAATATGTTTTTTAAGTTTGAATATGTGGTGCGGTTTGTTAAATAATAAATTACTGGGACCATACTTTATTAACGGAAACCTTACTGCAGAAAAATATTTAGATATACTGCAGGACATGTTAGATGATCTTCCTGTAGAGTATCGTCTTAAAGAAATTTTTATTTGTGGGGACGTCTCAAAAATAAAGTGTATAATACACCGAATGCAACAATTGAGATTCTCCGTGAAAATATTGAAGATGCATTGGAAGATATTAAAGAAGAAGAAATAAGCACTAGCATAAGAAATAGGAATATCAGAATCGCCAAGTATATTGAAGAAGATGGCGGACATTTTGAACAATTACTCAATTAATTTTGTTGATATTTTCAAATAATTTGATTATGACTTACAAAAACTGAATTTCTTTTTGTTATTATCAGTAATTGCGTTTTAAAATTTCTGCATTACTATTGTTGTTGTTGATGATGATGAATTGTTTAATTTTCGGAGAATTACATAAATTTTGTAAGAATTGACTTTATTTTTTTATCGAGAGGCATGACATTATGTTAATTCAACTAAAGATGGCTGAAACCAAGCGTAAATTTAATAAAATTTGGATTACGGTCCATATTACCCAAAAACCGTCATTGAATGCCATTGTGTAATATACCGCTGGATGCAGGATGAAAAATTATTTCAAATACTTAATGTTATAAAATATCCAGGTCCATATTTAAAAAAAATAAGTTGAAGGAGGTCCGGAGAATACGAAACGTTGGATGCAAAATATGAAAACGTCAAATCAAAGAAAATTTACTATCAAATAAAAAAAACCTTTAAAATATTTTGTGGTAGTTCTGAATAAATGAACGATAACCAAAAAACCGAAAAGATCGAATTTCCTTTTATTGAAATATTTAAAGAACTGGGCCTGCTATTTTCGATTAATTTCCACCGCTAGATTATGCTTCGAGATAGGCAACTTTTTCTCCATTTAACCGACTTTCTAATTAGTATGGTTTGGAAATTACTAATACAATCCCATTAAAAAAGTGGCCACCCTGTATATTATGCAGTGGTATGATATATGTTTACAAAAAAAACACATTGTCAATTATCGAATCGGAAAGACAGCGCGAACTCTCATGATTTAAAGTGTTTGTTTCGACCAACCCTTTGTGACAACTTTTTTAAACGCTGTCCGTTTTAAGGGGCTCAAGGTGGGATATCTGCTCGACCGGTTACGCGATTTGGATCGATTGACGGGCTTAATCCTTTTATATCCGGCCGGTAATAGGAAAGCCCTAAATTAAAATGTATGTCGCTCTGATTGATAAGATACAATGCAATGCGACAACTATCGAGGTGCGAAATGTTTCAATACATTGCCAACAAAATACACCTTTTTATTTTCAAATTGGTGAGTGTTTCGTTTCACAAAAAAAAAATAAATTTTAAGAAGTATGTTTTGATTAATTTATTCTAAACATTTAGTTGCTAGTGTAGCTTGTAAGAATTGTCAACTAATACATTTTCATTGAATGAATCCATCCTTATTTTATTAAAAGATTTCTTTTATTTACTCCTTGGTGCTTGGCCAGTAGAACCGTGACTTTCTTTAAGGACTTTCGAGAAGTGTTTATAAAACGTGGCCTATATAACTAGTTAGATTATTGTTAGCACCTGTGATGTTAATCTAGTATTAAGAACACAAAGCGTATTGAATAGAAAAAGCAACTTGCACCGATAATTTAGGCTAATCAAAATCTGTCATTCACACGCTATTCTCAATAGAAGTCGTCGTTTATTTGTTTGCCTCGTTCTATCTATTTATTTATGTTTATTCTTCTCGTTCTCATGTTTAATTGCTCCTGCTATCATTGTCATTAATCCCCTTTTTTGGTGTTTTTTTATTATTTTAAGGTATATGTAGTTTAGTTACCGGTCTTATGCTTATTTTTAATTCTATTTTGACAATCAATATGCCTATCCTTTTTGAAACCTTCACACTCTTCACACAATAGTCTGTGAAGAGTATTATGCATTCGTCCGTCCGTCCGTCCGCCTGTCCGTCCGTCCGCCTGTCCGTCCGTCCGTCCGTCTCTCCGTTGTCACGTTTTTTGCCCGCACGATAAGTTAAAAACGAAAAACCATATCAATTTGAAAATTTCAGGAAAAATCAAGCTCTATAAGGGGGCGAAGCCTATTGATTTTGAAAAAATTGAATACAAATGGGGGGTTAAGAGGGGTTGAAACATTAAAAAAAAATGAAATCAACTTAAAATTGTTAGCAAAGATCAAGCTCTATAAGATGAAGAATATCTTTGATTTTGTAAAAAATCTAATTAAAAATGTGTGGATTAAGGGGGGTTGAAATTTAAAAAAATCATAAATCAAAAACGAAAAGCGATATCAACATGAAATTTTTAGTAAAAATCAAGAAAATAAAGCCTATTGATTCTGAAAAAATTTAAATTAAAATGGGGGGTTGAGAGCGGTTGAAATATTAAAAAAATCCTAACTAAAAAATCGAAATAAGATCAACTTGAAATTTTTAGTAAAAATCAAATTCCATGAGAAGACAAATTTTATTGATTAAAAAAAAAATGGGAGTTAAGGGGGTTGAAATAAAAAAACAGAAATTAAACACCAAAAGCAATAACATATAATTTTTAGTAAAAAAATCAAGCTCTATAAGGGGAAAACTCCCTTTAAATTTGAAAAAAATCCTAATAAAAATGGGGAATTTAAGGGATTGAAATTAAAAAAAAAAAATCAGAACGAAAAATATTATCTACTTAAAATTTTTAGCAAAAATCAAGCCCTATAAGGCGACAAAAACAATTGATTTAAAATAAATTTGTGAATAAAATGAGGGGGTTATAAGGGGGACTGAAATAAAAAAAAATAGAAATCAAACACCAAAAACGGTATCAACATGAAATGTTTAGTAAAAATCAAGCTCTATAAGGAAATGAAGCCTATTGATTATAAAAAATTGGGGAATAAGGGGGGTTGAAATATTAAAAAAAATCCTAACTTAAAAATAAATAAAACGATATCAAATTGAAATCTTCAGGAAAAGGGGATGAAGCGTATTGATTCTAAATTTTTTTATTGAAGATGGGGTTAAGGGGGCTCTGTTAAACTGTGAAGAGTATAATACAGAATGCCAAGCATTATACAGGGTGTTACCGAGATACAGGATGTTAAAAATTTTAAATCAAAATTCAAAATTTACCAGAAAACAAAAACGTTTTTAAATATTGTTTTCAAATTTTATCTACCAAGATCTTGTCAAACACATAAACTATAAAAAATTGACACGTGCTTACTGGATTAGAATTTAAGAAATATTGAGCCCTTCCAAGTGATTATGAACATGTAGACTTTTGTTTAGAAACAAATTTCTGCGACACTGTTCATTTTAGCTCCATTAAAAGTTCACTTTTATTTACTAAAAATGAACCGAGAATTTAAAAAAATTATAATGAAAAATTTAAAATGATATTTATTCCAGTGGCGTAAAAAATAGTGGGGAAAATGTCTAATAACCTTGATAACGCGCCGCTGGTAAACATTTTAAAAGGAAGTTTATGTCAAAATATTACTTTGTTAAAGAGCATATTGGTCACCAAATTTTAAATTAATATTTAAAGTCGTTTTTGATTTATTGCAAATTTTTAATTTTGATTTCAAAGTTTTAACACCCTGTATCTCGGTAACCTTTAAGGGTCTATGTTCGTATATCAAAATTCATCAATTAACGAGAACTCTGTGGGGTAGAGCGTCGTTGGTCGAATATACTAACAATCTGTAATTTTCATTCTAGTTTGGACGTTTGTCCTTTATTGTTGTACATATATAGGGTGATAGAGTGGGTGCTATGAACTAACATGGGGTAAAACACAATAAGCCAATAGGCTTCAGTGTTATTCGGAGACACATAGTCAGACGAGCCCAGGAAAAAAAAAAAAAAAAAAGGTGGGCCACCGGAAACGCCTCGGTCTGTAGGGCCAAAACTATTTGATTTTTTTTAAATTTATCTTCACAACGGGATGTATATCAGAAAATATTTTATATTATACAGGGCTTTTATCATATCGAAGTTAGGTTTTTTTTTTAATATTTTATATTTGCTATATTTGCATTATACTCTCTTTTCCATTATAACAATATAAAATAGTATGAGATTACCCA